TACGATAATAAAGTATGTAAAATAATATACAAATGTAACTATTTATTGCTGTTGTTAATAAATTATATTACAATGTTAAAATATATAAATGTACTTATTTAATGCTCTATCATAATTCGTATATTGTATTACTTATCTTATTAAACATTTTATCAGTAATTTATATTATAAAGCATTATAAAAAATACAAAATATATTATCGATAATTTTACTCACAACTAGAAATATAATATAAATATAGATTTATTAAATATATTTCTAATGACTCCTATAACTATAGTTTTACTAATATGTAGAAAAATATTGTGTAATCTTATAAAATTAAAATACAAAATTAAACTGATTTATATGTCCACTGTTTTTATACTATATATACTTGTATAAATAAATAAATATTTAATTGTAAATTTTTTAATAGTTCTAAATTTTTAATAAAAATTGTTTCTGTCTTTAATATATACATTATTATATATAACTTTTCTACCTATTTAGGATATATTATCAGTAATAATCAAGCCAGAAAGGCTAAAAGAAAGAAATGTTGAAATCACAATCCACATCGCTTCGTAATATCACGGTTTAATAACGTCAGCAATTAAATCACGCAAACACAAATTGATCAGCTTTAGTGTGTTCTCTGATCTGTATGCATTAATGTCATCTCAAGTCGATCTCTGTTTGAAGACTTTCAAATACTTGTTTCTTATTTACAATTAAATATTATTAAATTTTCGCGTTCGAATAAAATATCCAAAATCTATGTTCTAATTAGAAACAAATCATTATATTTTTGTACTATTATTCCAAAAAAAATCTTATATTTTTCTCCGCCGGAATTATCTACGTCTTCAATTGTGTTCATTTCAATTGTATAAAAAATTTTACTGACGAGTTTTGAGTTCGCGTCTACACACGCAAAGTCAGCGTAATTTATCGAACGTGCGGATTTCCCAATTAATTTTCTTCTCGCGCGATATTATTTAGGAAAAGAGGATTTTCCAAAAATACTCTTTTTTTTTCTTTTTGTCGCAATCTGAAATATTCTACGTGACGGACAAGTTGAATAGTATGACTCGATATATGGTCGCCTCTATTCGCGAGCCTGATAACCTTGCTCTCCACTACTGTACAATCTGAATGCATCTTTGACGCGGAAACTGTAAACGAGTTTCTAAGAGTAAAGAAATGATCAGTCTACGTCTCAGTGAAGATTCGACAAGGTCAATTAATTATTATATATTTTTCTATATAATTATAAATTTCTTCCTATATAATTATAAATTCCTAATTATAAAAAATGAATTTGCCAATACACTCTAATTAATAAGGACAATCGTCAATCATGTATTAAAAACGAATTTTTACGAATGTTCTTAAAATAATTCCAATAAAACAATTCCATACAATTCCGAGATAATAACAACATCGAAGAAACGTAGAACTGATGTTAAATCATTATAGAATTAAATATTGCAAATAACGAAAATTGTGTTGTTGCGTAAAAAAATATAATTGTAGGTAACCTGTCTCAGGAGCCACCCAATTTTTGTTACTCTCACCTCGGAGCGCAATTTTTGCGCTGGTTTGCGATATCAAAGTCCTTGCAATGGTGACAGCGGGAGCGGATTGGTGCTTTACGACTCTTCTACAGACCGTTATCGTTTGCGTGGTATCGTTTCGCGGTCAGTAACTGGCAATGATTTTTTGTGTGATCTCCAGAGGTACATTGTCTACGTTAACGTGGCCAAATATATACCCTGGATTCAAGAGCAGATCTTTACTACGTAACTTTGATCTCTTATCTTGTACAAAATACAAGATGTATTTAGAAGACAAGTTTTTAAGGTTTATTTGAAGTTACGGTATTTACATTCGCTGACGTAAAGATTGAAGAGAGTTATAAGTTTAATTTTTTAAGATAGAGAGAGAGGCGAGATTGAAATTGTGCAAACACCTAAGAGATAAATTAAATAAAAATAATAAAAGTATAATTATCCATTTTTTATAAACAATTAAATAATAACTCATATTATGAGACACGTATTATAATATATTTATAATATATTATACATATATTATAATCAGCGAATCTAATGCTTTGTTAATGTTTTACATTGTAAAGCACACTATAAAAAGTATACAAAAATATTGCCGACCACTCTACTCGTGACTATTGTAGATATATTAAATATATATTATAATTTTAGTGATTTCAGTTTTATCAGTCTAACATGTATAAAAATGTTTGAACTTACAAAATTAAACTGCAGAGTTAAATTATAATCTATAAGTAAGCATACATACTCTTTTTACCATTATTGCTTTGTAGATCTAAAGTGTTCAGAAGTACACACATTAATAAGAATTAATTTTTTAAAAGATACATGCGTTTTATTATATCTTTTTACTATATTATACATAATAATTTTTAATAAGAGCAAGAATGACTAAAAGAAAAAAAAAAGAAATATAAAAATCGCAGTCCACGAAAATAAGTGACAGGATCACGAATTAATACTGCCCACATGTGCAATCATGAATTTTGTACCATTCTTGATCATAGAAATACCATTCGCGCTATCGCACCTGTACGCTTTAACAAAAGTAATTTACAATCATGCACGTATAGCAAACAATACTTTTTATGTATGCTTTCAACTAGATATCGTCGACAGTACGATTGAATCACTTCACGACACGGAGAATGTGGCTCCACTACAGTATACTGATCTACCTATTCGGATTTCTTCTGGCAAAATCCTCCAAATTGTTCGATGATACCGGAAAATATTCTTCACTTCTGGAAAGAAAACTGACATTAAAATTAAAAACGGCAACACGGCTGAAACACAATGTCGGAAAAATTCTTTATGAGCTGCCGGTAAGTTTCACTTTTAAAAAATGATATAAGATGATATATAAGAATGATATAAGATGTCTAAATCTTGCGAGAAAAATACTATTTTGCAATTTTTGTAATGGTTAACAAGATATTAATTGCTAAATATTATATTACATAATGCAATAATTTTTTACTCAAATATTATCAACTTTACAGAAAAACTGCAAAAGACAAAAGTCATTTATTTTCTTCTCATAGAATTCTAAGAATTTTTTCAGAATTTTTTATCAAATTCAATCAATCAGAATTTTTTAGTACTGCATTTTCTTATTTTTACCAACATGAAAAAATACGATATTAAAAAATTCTGAAAAAATTCTCAGAACTTTATGAGAAAAAAATAAATAATTTTTATCTCTTATTGTTTTTCTATAAAATTGATAGTATTTGAGTAAAAAATTATTTAAAATATTTAGCAATTTTTTAGTAATTAATATCTTGTTAATTATTGCGAAAATTGCAAAATGGTAAAGGACTTTTCGATTCAGTTTAGTCCACTGTATCTGCTCAGGGTGGATGATGCAGGGTGAATGTAATTTAAGAACACCCTGTATAAGTTCCATCCAATTGTAAAGCTTGAAATTCTGTAATATTTATCTGAATAATTTTTTAATATAATTCAACTTTTACTGTCTTTATTATTTTTTAATAATTGCGTTTGAAAGTTATGTGGTATATTTCATTTCAGCACAGGAATAATCAAAATTTGCGCTCCCCACTCGCTTTTGATCTTACAGATACAAAGTTACGAGATGTACCACTCCGTAAAGATCATTGAGGATTATTTGAAAAACGGCGGTTCACTGCTCGAGTGCCTCGATGTGTTACCTTCTATAACGTACGCACCTATCGCAGAGCAGATAGACAGTATTCTTGGATCCATGGAGGATTGCTTGCCCAAGTATCTTCTTCCGGCTATATCCTTGATTCGACGATCTCTGTCGGAAGGTGTTCTGGACGTCGACGAGATCTACAAACCCACTTTTGGACCACCGAAGGCTGACCCATTGGAGAAGATTTCTGTGAGAGAGCTGAAAGAAGCAGCCTCATCTTTGAGTTATCGCGCGTCGGTCAGAGCTATCGAAGAACCTTGGCCGAAGATTGTTGACGAAACGGCAATGTTAATTTACGATAAGGTCATTCCTCTGCGTTATGAACTGATCGCGTACATATTGTCGAATTTACGGATACCGGACGCGACGGCGGAGGTGAGAGAATCAATCGTACTTCTTGTCGAACATTTGCAATCGCATGGCAAGAATGAATTAACCTACTTTAACGTATCTCCCGATCCATATGTGCTAATCGCTAATGCCGTCTCGAGTTTGTCCTTACAAAACGAGATGTTGACAGCCATCAATGTATTGCTGCCATTCTTGCGGAAGCCCTCAGAGTGTCGAGAATCTGCCGAATTCGCTAGCTTCTTTCAGAACAACACTTTGATGAACTATACTCTGCTGATATCTCGAGACAGGATGATATCT